AAGGGGGATTTTAGAGAGGCCAGATTGTAGAAGCTCAGATTACTCCTCCTTTGTGACCAGTGCCAAAGTTTCTAATGACAAACAAGTCAGGACCTCAGTTTACCATTGTAGTTGAAGGATGGAATATTTTACAGCACAATATTGATGAACACTAAGGTGTGGTCCAAATTGCCACTTACTGGTCCACCAGTACCACTTACAGCAGCAAACTAGTTCTGCTTGCATGTCTTCCATCCCAGTAGTGGCCCGGACCATCTTATTTAGGTTCTGAGATCTGATGAGATAAGGGCAGATGCTGGGAAATGCTGGTGTAGACATTACAGTGTGGTACAGAACATACCTGAATGTTCCTTATGCACGCACTTTGTCCATAGTGGTTACATGAAGCTAATTGGAAGCATACATTTTGAGAACACATGAGTAATTTTGAAGGAGAAAAGGTCACCTTGTAGTCTGCATGACCCCATTGAAGAATGTTCTTGTCTGATTCCTATGTAACCGTGTCAATGAGACCACAGAGCATATAATTCCAAACATTAACCTGACCTGAGCAATTAGCTGTTTCCTTATTATACTTCTGAGTGCACTTTGTGGAAAAACAAAGTATTTTTCAGCCCCAGGCACACTACTCTGCATCTTACCTAGACATCCATATCCATTTTTATAGCAGTCTTGCCAAAGTCTAATGCAAACATCCATCTCGGTGGCTAGCCAGGGCCTAAAACGAGATATTTTGTCATGCTAGGTAATGTATTCTCTATTACTTGATGTGTATACAAACACACCGTTTGCCTTTGTATCAGCTGGATCTAGACACTGACACTGAGATGGTCACAGTCTTCAGTCATTTTCCCGTAGGCCTTTTCTAGTTTTGCACCACCACATTTTAGATAGTTATGACTATAAACTACATACATGTATTTCTCATTTATGTTCTTTAGAACTGAATTAATGATTCATCAAATGATAGATGTAGTTAATTGGTCTGTAATTTCCTTTTACGTCTATTCTGCTTGTTTTAACATCTTTCAGATGCTATAATGTCTTGCAAGTTGTCTGTTTTTGCAGACAGGTGAGATGTAACTTTGGAAACCCTATTGTATATGTTCACATTTCTCCTGACTGCTGAGTAGATATGATTAGGTGCTTGAAGATCCGTTTGTTTTCACAACTTATCTTGGTTGTTTCAGTAATCTGTTTTACATAGATCAAGTCAGCCCAGTTTAACACTAATGAATAACTAATGTATAACACATATCATTATCTACATAATGTAAAATAATCATCTTCAATAATAATCTTTACCTCGAAATACTTTTATCATGGCAGGTACTTTTTGTATTAACTGACTTATTCTCATATGGCTAAAATAATAATGGAAAAATTAGTTGGTTTTTGTTGTACTCTCATTATATGTTTTGGTGCTGTTTTTAACATTTCTGATTTCCTTAGTTACACTGCATTACATTTTATTCTGCAGCTTTATTTCTTATAGGATTTTTTACATGGTGTATCTGATATAGCTGCTTCTTTTTAATTAAATTCATTTTTTATTTATCTGTACAGCCACTCTGGCTGTTCATTAATGTTGCTTTTTTTCCAGCTTTGGGGATTCATTTATCTTGAATGTCTTGGTCCTCAGCATGCTGTACCTCCCTTAGGTAGAACACTTTTGTTGAACTTTATTTTAGGTGTTACCAGAAAATATGAAATCTGATCTTGTTTTTGCATGCTGTCACGATTATTTATTATTATTATCTTCACAATCACTTCCTTTCTTTGGTCAGCAACTGGCTGGTTTTATCAAACTGGTTAAAGAAACATGTCCTACACCGACCTGTTCTTATATTAGTAAATCTAGGCTTATTGATATGACCGGATTAATGTATAGGTAAAGTTTACCCTTAATTCTAGAATGGCAATACAGGTATCATCCAAACAAATTATTACTGATTACATGTCTGTGTGGTCATATCGTTCCCACCTCCATGTGGTTCAAGCGGTATGTCTCCACCATGTTTTACTAGTTCACATGATATTGTGATATTGAGATATTGTCTTCTAAATCATCTCCATTGAGTAAATCATACACATCCTGGCGATGAGTAAAACTGGTAGAATTTTCTAGTATCTCTTAGGTTCCTGCAGAGATCTGACCTCAGCAGCGTTGCATATTTATGGTACTGGTATTCGTCTGACAAAACAGGGGAGCTTGAGAAGAGAAAATGTCTCAAGCCTTGTAGTAATGGCAGGCAAAGAGCCTATACATGTTTCTCTTTTTTGTTTCTACCAGTAGTTTTCATTGCAAATAAAAAAGCTATAAACCATCCATCTTATCATAAAAAATCTCATTTGACACAAACACTGGGCACAAGCTAAAATTTTGTTACATTTTTACGTTTAGCTTCCCGTTTTTGTGTAACACTTTGATCTAGGCAAAAAATACTTGAAAAATGTGTGTCACAAAGCACGGGTGAGCAGATCTTTAATTAGCCTCTCCAACGCTTGACTTAAAAGGACTCTTCAAGTCCAGTGTCTGCAGGATGTCATCTGCAGCAGGGCACTGAGGCGAGGGGAAACGATGAGCATGGTACGCTATTCTCCACTTAAAATCAAAGAGGATCTTTCAAGCCCTAGTTGCCACACATTCTTAAGCCAGTTCAATACGATTGGAAAACTGAAACCAGATGAGATTTCAGTTTGTTAAATATGTGATAAAGGCATTGATACTCGAATAGACACTCCCATTGACATTCTGATTTTGCCATGAATAACATCCAAACAGGCTTTTTTTAAAACAATAAAAGATGTTGCAGAATTAAGTGCAGTGGAGGACTGTGGACAACATTTGAATAGGATGGGAATCCAAGTCACATACCTGTTTTCCTAGCACATGCATTTTATATGTACATCCTATATATGTAAGAAGAACATATATTTTTATTTATTCTTGCTGGTATCATGTGGAATAACTGTGGCCAGGAGTTTTTAATGGATTAGGTCTAAAGTGATTTTTCACATTGTCCCAAATGGGTAAGGAAGATTAAACTGGATTTAAAACTGTTTACTTTTATATCATGATGGTTGATGTTTCCATTTCCATTATGCTTATTTGATTTTTTAAAAATCCATTACCGTAATATATTGAACCGTTTCAGCTTTCTGTGGTATCAAAACAAGCTTCCTGGTCTGAAGCCAAATAATTTAAAGTATTACGTTTGTTGAACATCTTGTTCAAATGCCCAAGCTGCAATGTGTACTCATGACAAGCCAGCCATCCATTCACCCATTTCTTCCTGCTTTCTCCAGTTCAGGGTCATGGGGAAACCGGAGTCTATCCCAACTAGCAATGGGTGTAGGGCAGTATTAACTCTAGAAGGGTTGCCAATCCATCGATACGCGCTGAATTAAAATTTCAAACAACTTTTTAACAACTAATTTTCCACAATTCTTTGCAAAGGTGTAGAATTAATTCTGTTCTGTAAATATTTTAATTTTAGTTGTAGCCCAGCCCTGCTCCCACAAGCACAGTAGCATCTCTAAAGATTTCTTGGTGCCAATGCATATGAGAAGATTTTTGCTTTGCAGATAATGTAAGCCTGTAATTTGTCTAGTATGAATATAATTTCTCCAAAGGGCATAACCAAACCATTTTATATATATTTTTTTAGCAAAGGCTTGAACCATGAGCTAGCATTGTATCTAGGCAGTAAAAAGGACGTTTTAATAGCCCGGGGCATATTCAAATAGAATCAGGAGTTAGTCTGGGTTGCTGTGTGCACTCGTTAATCATCCTTGACGAAATGAACACACCATGTCGCCCTCAGTCTGCACTCTGCCCAAATCCATCGTGTCAGGAAACGACAGTATGTTGTATGTGTAAAACTGAGCCACGGCATACCTTTCCTGGAGAACGAGGAAGAAAGGAGGGTATCGCTTTAATTACCACGTTAAGAATATCACCCCCGACTGACGGATGAATGTGGAACATTGTTTGAACTGAGCTACTGCAGGCCTTTCGTTCTGGGCTCTAATAATTCCAAAGGCTGACTCATCTCTCTCCTGTAATGAGTTTACCTCGCTTCAGACAGGGAAGAGATCTGATGCAATCTCTGTCACTGGTGGCACCACGGGATTTCGTGTTTCTCGTAGCTGTAGGAGCTAGATGGGAGGGAAGCAATAACCGCAAGAGAAATACACTATAATAACTACTGGTGCTTGTTGCCATGGTGAAACTGCCAGGGAGGGATTCTCATTGGATCGTGTATTTCAACTGTGTCAGGGACTGAAGGCATTTTTTCATTTGCTTTGTCTTGCAGAGGTGAATTATGTGATGTGTTTTTAACTACACTTTAACTTCAAATACTGACAGCAAGCAGGCTTTAGGACGGTGTAGCTACATAGATGCAAATTTAAAGTGAAAGATGCATTATTATCAAGGGAAGAGTTTGTTTTTTTAGAAAACGGGTCTAGGATAATATGTTCAGTGCTGACAGAAACTGTTTTTAGATTTTAGATCCTTTCTTCTAAAACTACTTCTGCAGTAATTTTGAAAAATAAATTGATTCGGTTTTCTTGTGTGCAAAATGAGAATTTTATAAAAAAATTGACTTTTTTTCCTCCTCTTCTGCCTGTTTGTGGAACTTGAAGAAATTATCAAATAAAGCTGAAGAAAATAAAAATGCAACAAAAGGAAAATGACAGATTGTTTAGAAAATGATAAATCATTGCCCTGTTTTTGGAGTCATGTCTACATGATGTATAATACAACTGCTCCTAGCGATTAAGGAAAGCCCTGCTTCATCCAAAACTTTGTTTTCTGATTACCCTAACAGGAGAGCCTAATGTGAAATCTGTACCCTTGAACAGAGAGCAGTTTTTCCATCTGCAGAATGATTATTGTTTCACTGTCTTTTCTGGATTAAGCACTTTGAACACCTCGATGGCAACTTAGTATTGTTTTATTTTTTTTATTTATTAAATTGCTATAAAACCTTCCATTTGGTGCTTTGAATGGTTGGTGGGGTTCTTGGAAAACAGATTGAACAAAATATTTTTGCCTTTGAAAGGCAGGCTGTGACTTTTGGCAAGAGGCCCATGTGCTTGACAGCTGAAAGTGTATAGTCCCATGTGCCAGCAGCTCAATCTGTATGTTCTGTGCTGCATTCTTCCTCGACTGCAGACCCTCTCATAAAGGATGATGTAGACCTGCAGGAAAATGTGCAGGCAGAAGATAAATCTTCACTGTACATCTCGAGTCAGCAATTTTTAAGACTCATTTAAACTTGTTAGGAAAATGAGAGATATTGCTTTTTGCACCAGATCAACATTTTATGTTTCTTCTGTTTTGTTGCTTATTTGGAAGTTCAAATCAAATGTATTACAGTCTTTTCGAATTGGTATTCTGCTACCATGTCTTTCTTCTTTTTTATTTAGTTGCTGGAAGTTTGCATTCAAAATCCCAGCCCATTTTTTATTGAAGTGCTGAGGCCAAGCATGCATGGCAGCTTAATCCATCTTCTGTGCTCATCTGGCCTTAATGTAATTATGAAAATGAGTAACACGGTAAACAGCAGATCATCTTGTGCTGTTCGGAATGGGTCTTTTTCCCAGATAGCAAGGGCAGATGTTTTAAAAGGGCAAACTTTAAAGGAGGGTAAACTACTTTTACAAGAAGTAAAAAAAAACAGTACAACAATACCCTAGATTTATTTTTCCCCCTTTTTATACATGTCAGGTGGAATGCTTACATAAAGTTTAAACATAGATGATGGAGCATAATTTAACAATAATGTGATTTAAGACAGACCTAAGGTACTTGTACTACTGCAGAAGTGTTTATTCTTTAATTCTAGACCTGTTCTTAAGAAAGAATTGTTTTAAAAACACTTCATTTTTCTTGGCTGTGATACTGGCCTGACTCCTGGACAATCTCTCTGTGTTCTCTGTGCTTCCTGGCCGTCTCACTCTCTGTTATTGTCCTCTCTGAGTGTATTGAAGTCTGCAGTACCTTGGGTGGAATCCCAGATACAAGTGGCAGGCCTGGTAGGAGTAAAATAACACCGGCACAGTTTGACGAAAGTAAACTAGTCTTCTGGTAGGGCGATCAGCCTTAATTTTCTCTCTAGGCCTGCCTCAAGTATGAACAGCAGTCCATCAGGCATCACACACCAGCATTTAATAAAGATTTAAAAATGAGGAGAAATCACGCAGCCATTCTTTACAGGCAGAAAGTGTGTCACTATATGTGCTTGCTCTTGCTATAATGCTCATTTCCGTACGGTATGTTAACTACTGTACTGTGCCTTAAAGGTGATTAACCAGTATGCTTCAATGGGAGGTATACCTCTTGTTAAGCTTTGTCGATTTCTCTTTGCTATCATAATGAGCTTTACTAAGAATTAAAATTCCAAGACATACAGTATCTCTTTTTGAACACACTTACTATAGCCAATTGGCTGCTACTCTTTGAATGTGAGTAGCTTGAATTTATGACCAATGATGTCGGGGATGGTTTCAAGCTGATGGAATGAAGCCCCCCTGTGCCCCATTACCCCTTAGGCAGGTGTGGGTGATAGGCTAATCAGTCTGGCTATTTTGAATGAGTGCAATTACTGCAATCAGCAACACCTGTTGTGGAGCTGGAGGCACCCAGCAGGTGAGGTAGAGTGTTTTCTCTTCTGTGACACAGCTTCCAGAGTCGCCTGCTGCCTGCTCCCTCACAGCTTCGTGTTTCAGGTGATGGGCGTGTTACACCTCTCTCTCCTTCAGTGACTGAAGACTTTTCACATCCACAGATTGGCTCAGCGCTCCCTTTATTACATGCGTGTCCAATATCCACGTTGCATAACTTGATGTTTAACCCGCATTTGAGAAAAATAACTTGATTAGTTTTCACCGTGCTAAAATGAAGTTCTGAATGAAGTTTTTTAAATATTCCATTGATTTATTCATTTCAGTTTTTGATGGAGCAGTGGGTAGGGTTCTGCATTTGTAATTAGAGGGTTGTGGGTTCATATTCCAGCTGGGCTGCTGCTGTTGTTCCAGTGTACTTCACCTACATCAGTCCAATAAAATGAGTAGAAATGTCTAATTGGATGAGAGCATCAGCCAAATAATAACAACATTACACTGCGGCAGACATCTAAGACAGACAAATAGCATTGCACGGGTCCATTGTTTCAAAACCTTTTGTTTGCTGCATTCCATATGCCCTGTAATTATAAAACTAATGAACGTTTTTCACACTATAACTATTACTTTCATGACAGATCACAAGGGCTGACAGTTTTGCATGACATCCATTTGTCCTCAGACTGTCTTGCTTACCAGCTGTGTTGGGACAATCTGAGATCAGCTCCAGCTGGCCTTGGGTTATTTACAGAATGCACAGCCTTGGTTTATTTATCTTTGAGAGGAACCCTGTGGTATGCATGCCCTCCTGCAAACCCCCTTTCCCGTGAGCTTAGAGTTTAGTAGCCCACTGTGAATAATCACGCCGTTTTATCTTACTGTCATCTCCAAAACGAAATATGTCTGTCGAGTGACACATGTCTCCTTGGCAGTCTTATCTGGGCTCGTGCTAATTTTACCCTAATTTCACTGTTGCAGTCTAGTGGATGAAGGCAGACGGAGAGCTTACTGCACACTCAGATCAGTTAGTATTTGGCTTTGTGTTATTTCAGACCACATACCATTGCCTCCTGTCTAGATCAGCTTGAAATTTCACCACATGTGAATTGAATCATAAGCCGTATATGTAGAACTTAACTACCTAATAACAGTTTCTATAATTAGTTTTTCAAACATTTCAGTTGTAGAATTTTTTAGAATTGCATTTTTCGATAGTTGTGTTTTAAAATTGTTTTGTTTTTCCTATGGAAGTGAAATCTTTGTAAAAGCACAAAGATGATTGGGAGTGTGGTCATGGATTGCATTATAATTGTCTGGGATATGAGTTAAAGCTGGGATATAAGGGTAGTTTTATAGGGTAGTTTTTTGATTGGGGGTGCTGTTAAATGTATTAAGACCGGGCTCTGGGTAGGGATGGGCTAGGTATAATATAAGAGCTGTTTTTAGAGTTACTGGTTAGGGTTTGAGACAGGGTGAGGCTAGGATAAAATTGTGACTTGGGGATGTGGTTAGAGTTACATTTAGATTTAGGAGTCAGGCATGTGTTTAGGGTAAGGCATGGCCCGAGGATATGAATAGAGTAAGTGTTACGTTTTGTGTTTTTACAAAAACGTTTTATTAATTGAGAACTACTGTGTCGGAATTTGTGTAGCAAATATTTCAAGGCTGTTTTACAAATGTACTTTAGATTTAGTGGGCAAGTTTGTCATGCAGCTAGGAGTTTCACCAGAGGCAGAGGGCGTTCTTTACAGCCAAGAACATATAGAGTTTTGCACTCATATTGCGTTGGCCATTACTGATCACATGCCCTGTCATTTCTTCTCGTATTCTGCTTTTTAAACCTCGGAAAATGTCAGTTCAGTATGTACATTCACGACATCACACACACAGATCCGCTCTGACTTATTTCTTTCATGAACATTGGCGTGTTGATACCAGCGGTAACATCCTATGCCCGAAATGAAAATATTTAAATATTTAAACTCTGTGTGGGTCTCTGTGGACCTCTTTTCCTGTGCCTGCGCAAGCTTTCACTGAGTATTAGTATTCACACTGTCGTCTCTGGCCAGTGTAACCGAGTAGCACGCCAGGCAAAACCTGACTACACCTAATCAGGATATATGGACGTGCAACGCCCTTCCCGCCTTCCCAAAATTCCAAGGCTTCCATTACCTCTGAAGTAACCCTCGTGGACTGTGTCTATGGGGACTCTGGCCATTGGTCATGGTCTGGTGGCTACTGGGTCAATGGTGAGTCTTGCAGAAGGACGGGATGCCAGTCTGATGAGGGGAGCAGGAATGACAGGCCAGAAACACCCTTGCTCTCTCTCCTGCTTTCCGCGAGCTGTGGCTTTGAACAACCTCAGCTGTTTGTGCTCGTTCGAGTCACAAGGGCCGAGGTTGCTAGGCGACAGCTCCATTCGATTAGCTCCTCGGCCCCACGGGGATCTTGCCCTACAATGTTAATGGGATCCTGTAGCATTCCTAAGTGAGAAAAATGGCCTCCTTTCAAATATATTTCTGGCACTTTTTTAAATGGCAGAAGATTAGGGAGTTAAAATAGCAAACTGCACCCCCTTGGGTTGTCTTTATTATTCTCATCAACTCGCAACGGGCAGAGATGTGGGATGAGTCATTGCCCATGCAGCAAATGCCACTGTCACTGGGTTATCCGTTTCAGAGCCTTCCACCCGCCCACCTGTCCCTGAGCGGTCTGCATGGGAGCACCGCGCGGTGCTGCTGTCCACACTCGGCGCACCCAGCCATTAGGAATTACAGCTGAAATGGGGTCAGATTGCTCTTGCAGCGAGAGAAATGGCATGCCATTAAATTAGATAAATTGCATTCTTTTCCATTACGTAATGATTATCTCTGCGGCATTTACATATTTACTGTACTCGCTCCTGTCTGAAAGTCATCAACGGGAGATTTCGCTTTTTTCCAGCTTCGAGCACAGAATGCACCCTTTTGCAGCGAGTACTACATATGATTAGCTGGCAGATGGCAGCCTTAAGTTGTGATATCTTGATGTATATGTACAGTGTGAAGCAGATTACAGCTTATCTAAATGATTTGGGAATGTTAAATATGTAATATATATATCATGCTAAAATAAATCTGCAGGCTTTTTCCTAAAGCTTTTATTTTTTTATTTTCACGAGTGATAATAGCAAAGAGGCTGTGTGCATTTTAGCCTCCTTCTGTTTGCACTTCAGACGTTACCAACGGCACATTAACTCGGCCTGAGAAGACACAATTATTCACTTCTCCTGCCGGGGCTCCCTGTCCTCCCCCACAGCCTCTGTTTGACCTCCAGGCCACTGCAGTGAGTGAGAAAACATAGAGGCTGGTGGAAGAGGAGTTAGTGATCTCTTCCCTGAATTACACAGGCATGGCCAATGTCATGTGTTCTCCAACGTGTACCACAGAGATTAGGGTTCACATAACTAAACGTAATAAAAACGTAAGCATATTCATGCACTTTATATTTGGCCTTCCTAGGATTGAACAATTCCCTACTAATGTTGTGGCTGCTATTAACTTTGTATTTTTTAAACAGAGCTTACTGTCAACAGCTAGAAGAGAACATTGTAATACAGCAACACTTCATCTTTCAATAGAAATTGTCAGCGTTTTGTGAATGTAAATGAAGAATAAAATCCAAGCACTGCTTCTAGCTTTAGTTGTGATAGGACATTTAAACAGAATCCAGAGTTTGAATTCATGACACTCACCTTTTGGTGTTAGGAGAAATGAAGGGATTTGTCCTTTCTTTTCAAAGCATGAGAGAGAGTTCATCGTGTTGTTCTTTTGGTGCTCGCTGTCTTCGGGTCAGCCTTGTGGAACACAGGTTTCTGTTTGCCTTAAAAGATATTCATCAGGATTGCTTAGTGCCAGTATTATGGTTTGTGGGGTCAGAATCTTTTATGCGACAGTAAAAATTGAGTCACAGTAGGGTTCTGAAACTGCTCTTTTCTCTTTCTCAACCTGCCTGTGACACAGTATATCAATTTGCAGTTCATACAGAGAGTATCGTATTGTTCTTGCGCTTGAAACCCTTTGAGAGGAATGAGTCCCTTTTATGTGATCTACAGAAGTTTATTTTAAAATGATGTGTTCAGATTCTGAATGTGCAAAATTGAAAGAAGGCTGCATGTTCTGACTATTACAGTTTTTACAACTGTTTTTATGTTTGTTTTGCATATTGCACTTTGACACTGTTCAATTCTGAAACCAGCAAGAAATGCAGTTTTTCATTGCATATTGTGTCTTTGTGCTGCTTTGTGCTGCTGAGCTATTAATATAAGAATTTGCATTTTGTTTATTTTGTTTGTTTGCAAACATAGCAAAGCTAAACCCGTAGAAATATTTCAAAACAGACACACTAAACCAGCTCCATGCTAACTCTCCTGCGTTGTAACAAAGTTAACAATGTTATAAAGTTAAGAAATGTTTTGCAGATGATATATGAAGCGTTTGCTCTTTTAAGTTTCGTCATTCATTATAGTTCTGAAGTGTTTGATCTGACTTTACTGAGCCTTCTCCTGATGGGATGTTTAGTGTTGCCTTATGACAGCTGGGCCTCTCAACAAGCTAGCTCTCAGCTAAATTGAGTTCCCCTCTTTAACAGTCTTAATAAACTGCTTTCCAGCTACTGATTGGAAGGTGTGGTTGCTGCAGGCAAACACTCTCCTTTTAATGCATCATCTGATAGCTATTAAATTACTTTGGACTGCATTCCTTCTTTGAAACATATGGTATCCCATATTAAAATCTGGAAGTAGTTACAAAAGCACAAGTTAAAATAAATACAGTTTAGGATTTATGAGTGGATAATGGCAAATTGCAAATGTTTTAACTATCAAAAACATAAAAAACAAGATCAGCACAAGTTTGTGTACATAAACCTTACACATGAGTATGTGTAATCACTGTTCACATTCCAAAATCCAGTCTCTTTACTGATTGATGTATAGACCGAGAATTTTGTGTACTTTTTCTTATTTTGTGTACTCCAGTATCTATGAAATAAGTATCAGTCAAGACACGTGGTGCTTTCTAATCTCTTCAAACAAATTCTTCACAGTTCTTCAAATTTATTATGGCAGTATATAATTTATTTCATTGCAACGTACAGTAGAATTGTAGTTTGATCTTTCTAATAGACAAACTTGCTTATGATAATACCATGATTGCCACATATGCTGTACTAGTGTTTTTATAACTTCAAGTACATTTCCACATAATGTACTGAACACCTCAGGAACCTGCCAGTTAATAATAACCCACCAAATATAATCAGCTGCCACGCGGTAGATATAAATGATAGAACAAGAAATGAGAAGCTTTACACGTAAAGGGTTTACTGTACCAGTATAAGGGCCTGTTTTAATGCTGAGTTACGTAAAATACTTCTTAATGGTAGTTCATATGAAGGCCCTACCTTATAATAAGGTCTTAAGTTTCTCAGTGTTAGGGTTTTAGATGTTTTAAATCATAATTTGGTTGTGTATGTACAGTATGTGTCTTTCAGAAAGCCTGTACATTGTAGAATGTTTTCATAGCTGTGCTTGTGTAGTTTGTTCCTTTCTGGGTTAGGTTTGGCTGCACTTATTGTGCAGGGCAGGATAAGCCAAGGAAATGAACTGTATTTCCAAACAAAGTTCTTCCTACTCTTGATTTATTGCTCCTCCAATCAACCCGTCTGCTAAGTTCATTCTTAGGGTACATCTGAAGTGTTGTGGACCACAGGGTCTTCATATTGCCTACACCCCCTTATCTTAGAAAGAACCTCCCCCATCCCAGGCACAGGTAGAGTGAAATCTGTAGATAAAGGGGGGTTTGAAAAGCTGAAGGGTTATCTAATTAGTTAAGCAGACCCCAATTAAGTGAAGACCAGATGCCTCCATAAGTTATCCGGCTGCTGTTTCCCTTCCTGCTGTATGAGGCTGGAGTTATAGATGGTGACCTGCAGCTTCTATGCCGCGTTAAAAAGAAAAGATCCAAAGTAAATAGAGAGCTGAAGCATATAACAAGAGCTTATAGCCGAAAACGGCAAGAGGAGGAAACAGGTTACCGCTTTACAACTCACCTTCTCCCCTGGATTCCTCTCGATGAACCCAAGCCAATTCGAGTTATAGCTAGGAGCTGTGTTTTTGATATTTGTGATACTCCTGAAGATTCCCTTTTTAAATCCTCCTGTGGAGTGGGCCAGGCTTGTCTGTGAGGGATTATATATTTTATGAAGGCAGTCAATCATGCCTTCTCAGTTCATTAGTTTGGGCTGTGTTATCTAGCAGGATAGGTTGGATGAATGTACTCCAATCTGTCTATAGTAGTTATAAACACTCATTTTAATGTTTTGTGTCTATAGTTTTATTTGATACATATTTGTTTTTTTTAGGTAGTGACGTTTTTTTTTTCTCCACAGCCACCGGAACATGAAAGAAGCCACATAATCTTTGAATAGTGGATGTGTTAATAATTTTACTTTTAGAAATAACTGACAACTATTGAGCAGACTATTAAAACTAAGTCTCTATCACATTCTTCTAACAGCGTCCTTAATATAACTATAAGGTCTGATTGATCTATAATGTACTAATAATAATAATGTTTTTTATTCCCATTCAACCACCTGGCTGGGTACCTTGTTCCATACTGCCTTCTCAACAGGTTCTTTTTTCAACAGTTCACCTGCGACGTAGTGTTGCACTAAATGCTGAACAAGACACCTCATACCTGTTATAATGCATGCAGTTCTCCTGGCTGTATCCTCCTGGTGCGGTTTTTATGGAGATTAATTTAATTGCTTTCTCATTTACATTATAGAGTTGTACATGTTGATTTCTATAGATGTCTTTATATTATTCTAGACTGGGCAGTTGCATCTCTTGATTTGCTGCTTGAGCTTCATCGTCGGTTTGGAGACAAACATACTATCAGTGGTGAAGCAGGTTCCAGGTTGTTCTATTAAATTCTCCTTAGCTGCATATATTGTAAAACACACCCACTAACACACATGCATTCACATGCTTTGTCCTTGAAATTGAACTTTTAATATAGCCTACAGGAATAAAGTCTGTTTTTGAGAAGAATACACCGTTATAAATAACTTGTGAATTGTATTTTTAACACCTTTATTCTGTTTTGCATTGACATCACTGTAAATAATGCATTGTGCTCTTTGGTGGTTCACTTTCATCTCTGAAATGTCGAGATTTAGAGCCAGCAGGTTTCTTTCAGACTGGGAACTATCAGCCATCCACATCCCTTCTCTACTCTTGTGTCACTGCTTCTTTGATCGCATGACTGAACGACCTTTTTATTCACAGAGATTTAACAGAACTGTGCAACTGAGTGTCTTTAAAAACACACAGTAGAGTGTGGGAGTATTGGGATATGAGAAAAACAAGGGGTGTTGATTTTAAAATCTTCTGCCGTTCCCATTCCCTCCAGCATTTGGCACTGTTGAGCAGTGCAGAATTTTAATTTCCAGTGAATGCACTTTCATTTCATTCACTTCTGCTTTGGTGGCCCAGGAAGAATTTCCGTTTATTTGCTCTCGATGATGCGATGTGGAGAATGGGCTTTAGGGAAGCTCTTGGCTCCCTTTGGAGTCTACCCTTCTGTTCAACTAACGCTCCTCCATAGGTTGCACATACAGTAAAATGCAATCTTTTTCAATAAACATGACATCTAAACAGAGCAAGTAGCATTTGCAAAAGAAACCAATGATTAGCGCAAACGCAGTCCTTGAAAGTAAGCGAGAAAATGAGCAATGTTATGTTGCAGATGAGCAATGTTGTGTTGCAGAATCTCTGGGGGCTGACATAATTTATAATGCTTAGACCTGTACTGTAAGGAAACATTTATAGGGCAGGAAAAAAAGATTACATACAGCAGCAGCATTTCTGATATACTCACACTTGAGAACAAATGCGATTGTCTACATCAGCAATATCTAAATTTTTTCCTCTTATGTAATATTTGGCAAGATTATATGAAGGTCAATTAATTTGAATGTTCTTGGATTCGCTGCGAGATTTTATTTTTTTATTTTCTTTTCCGCAGCTTAGGGATTGCAAATAATTGTTTTGTGAGTGTTTAGAAATTTCAGCCCGTTAACTGAATATTAATGTGATCACGGAAGTCAGCAGACGTTTTCTTATGGAAATTGATCATCTTAAAGACTTGACTCATTTTTTTATGAGTCAACCTTCCCTTGAATGCAACACGCTCGGGCATTTATATTGATTGCAGTGTGCTCTACGATCTTGCAGTAAAATGCTAGCTGGATGGGAGCAAGCCCCTGCCTTTTTATTGATGCAATGCAACAAAAGAGGCAAAGGCTAGTTTGCATTAATGAGGCCAGCCATCAATTATGTGGATTTGTATTTCCGACACGCTGCCTTTGATCTGCTGTGTTCTTTACTCAAACATGACTGCTGAAAAACATGTTGACTTTATGTAAAAGAAGGTCAGAATTACAAAAGGAATATTTTAAGCATATTGTGGGTTATGCTGGAACATTTTTTATCTTCCTTTCATGCTCCCCATTGACTTTGAGTAAGCAGGGCATTAAGGATGCATGTCAGTGCTTTCATTAATCTCAAATTTGTGAGCAGACTGCACATAAGCAGCCATTAAGACTGGCCTGGGTGCAAAGGAGTCAGGAGAATTTAAATGCCTTTCAGACTGCAGAGGGGGCCCAGTTCCAGATGTGTGGTATTAAGTAGGTCTCCAGGAGTGATTTGGTTTTGGAGCTGCTAGTGCTAGTGGCAGCCCCTAGCCTGTTTTAGTATCAGTTTTCCCCTGATCATTACCGGATGTTTTTATGATTAAATGATTCTGCAATACCTACCATGTCTTCATTAAAACAATATATTCTAATAAAGCCCTCCAGAGAGAATAAACTCGTCCTGCTCTGCTCTGCAACTCCACAGAGTTGCCAAAAAGTAGGATCATTGCAAATTTGATTGTTATTTCAGTTGGATGGCACGTGTGGATTTCTAACGTACGCCAAAGTCAATTATACCTGACCGGAAGGCATCAGAGAGCTGGGGTCCTGCAGACTGGAGGAATGTGGAGTGCTGTAAACGTGAGAACTGCCTCGTGCAGCTGGGCTTCAGCTGTGTTGTAGTTGTAGTCTGGAGGGACTACATCAGACCCACCGGTCCAGAATTTCTCCAGTCCACCTCTCAAGGAAGAATAAGCTGTACCCGTTGAAAGAAAGTCAAAGACAAGCAGTTCTTTCTGAAAAAAAATATGTTTTTCTTAAGTCTACCTCCTGCTGAGGTATTTCATTAGTTATATTTGTCTCTGGTATTTCTCCAAATGAAATGCTCTTGCTTTTAAGTCAGTACATGTCCCCTGTCGGACTGTCCTTCCTTATTACTTTCCTTACACTCTGGCCATCTGTTGAATAACTGGAGTGGTGTGAAGCTGCCTACTTGTGCATGGAAGGCTTCTGATGGCTGGCTTTGTCATGTACACAGCAGTGCGTGTCTTCGAGGTGAGGAGGCTGCTGCAGATATTTTCTGATTTAAGTGGAAAATATTTCTTACAGCTGGAAGAATTATCACTTGCACGCTGATTTAGTGGGAGAAGCTGTTTTCTTAAGAATTTGTCACGCCTTGTATTCTGAGTGCCGCATGTGTCTCAAGCCAGAGAGGTAGCAGCACTGCAGCTCGGCTCGTTTTGTTCATGGAGGACGAGGAAGCCAGGGTGTGGTAGTAGTGTGATGAGGTGCTTTCACTCCCAGATATTGCGGAATTGCCCAGCAGCCGTTTCAGCTCAATAAACTTTCTAAGAGGCATTGAAATGCAACACAAATGCCAATGCTCATTTTTATCGTGATTTGAAAATTAGAGACATTGTTTGCAAATACGTGCCTCCATAAGACTGAGCATGGCTGTCCATCATCACCTCCGAGGTTCTGCTAGGTTCTCTCAGTTGTTACACAGCTGTCATCATAAATGTAAAATATATGATGAGAATATTTTTTCTTGAGATGTGTCATTCCGTATATTATGGAATATTTGGATTTTATATATAATTAAAGTAGTATTCTTGACATATTACCTACTGATCTGTAGTACATCAAATAACGTGTTATAAAATGACCTGGAGTTAGCTGACCTGATATTGGCACCTGAAGGATTATGAGAAAATACGTTTGGTTAATCTTTTTGCAGAAAATAACTTGTAATTCAAAGTAGAAATAGTAGTATATTGAATGGAAGAGGTTCATAAAAATCATAGTGTTCAAAAATCCGATTTTTAGTGGACATTACAGAAACTGTTTATGGATTCTCTATAGATATAATTTAGTTTTTGCTCATGGCTAGGCACTATTTAAATGCACTCTCTGGGGAGGGCCTTTTTCTTAGCTTAAATAAATCTGGCTTCTTTTATTCTGTGCTGAATGCTACGTTATGTGTATCATTTCAGTCTCAACAAGAGAAAATAATGCATTTATCCCACTGTGGAAGCAGGATGGGACTCCGGAGGAATGACAGGGATCATGTAAAAGTGCTGGCATTTGTATAAACTCTACCCTGAAATGCAGTAAACATAAATATTTATAGCCATCTGCATGCCAGCATTATTAGAAAAGGCATTTATATTAATCTAAAAATGTATGAGCTTTGTATTAATGCTAATAAATATTAATAAGTAATTGTATTGCGCCCTCTCCCTGCACAGAGTACTGATACACTTTAATAATTGACGTGTGCAGCTCAGCCGGTGTTTGGGCTGGATGAGTGGATTGTGTCCAGTGTGCTGAGGAGAATACCAATCATGCTGCTTGCTGAAAAACAGCCCTGCACCGTGCCGTCAGTGTGTGACCTGCTGCAGCACACTGCTTTCACCTTTTCCCCTTGCTAGGGGAACAACAAGCACAACAGAGCCTGCTGATCATCTTAAAGTGTTTAGTATTTAAGATTGCTCCATCTTTTTGGTACCCCTAGTCATCCTTTTAATTCTAGGAAATATTCACAGTCTGTTCTCACACAGTAACACAGGAACAGTGGTTTTGCCTGTTCTATTTTAGAAATCACACAGTCACGTTCTTTGTTCAGGAGCACACGGCTGAGCAGCTCCGATACTCATTGTTCTGCTGGGCTGTGGAAGCCTGGGAGAGCCAGCGTCAGAATGGCACATCCCCGGTG